GCAAACATATGTGAGCAAGCATAAAGCATGTATAAAAGATTTATGAAGTCAAAAGAAGAAGAACATGAGAGTCATGCAAAAAGGTTTTCAAGTGAAAACAAATCAACCAAATGAAATCATAAATCACAAGTAAATCACATAAAACTAAATTATCATTGATTTTTTTAAAAAAATCAAGAGAGGCAATCATATCTAGCTCTTGAGCTAATAATAACCCATATAAATAAAAATTTGTTTTCATAATCAAAAGATTTTAAAGCATAATTTTCAAAACCAAGATAAAGAAGGATAAAAAACATTAAAATTCTTAGTTTGAAAATCAAATTTGTTTTGGTACCCAAGAACTCTTGGTACCAAAAGATTTAGGGAGCAACAAATCAAAACACACTTTTTAAGAGAGGCAACAATTATATTAAGCTTTTGAGCTTGTTCCAACCCATATAATCATTTTAGCATCCGGTAAACTTGATTTGGGAATAAACACCCAATAAACCCGGAGGGTTATATAAATACACACCTCTCATCAAAATCAAAACTAATAATCATGAAAACAAAAGATTTGATAAAAGAAAATTTGTTTTCATAACCAAAAGATCTTAAAACATAATTTTCAAAACCAAGACAAAAAAAAAATAAAAACACTAAAGTTCTTGGTTTAAAATCAAATTTGTTTTGGTACCCAAGTAATTTTGGTACCAAAAGGTTTAGGGACATGACCCCTATCATTGAAGCTCAAAGCCCTAGGGTTATGAACCCTCTTAGGCATATGTGGTGCACTAACACGGTCAAATCCTCCAAACTACGTCGGATTTCCTCCAAGTTGCCTTGATGTGCTTCTATGAATTTCCATAAATTGTAAGCACTATCAAAATGAACAAATTTGTTAGAAAATGATGAGTCAAAGGCATTAAGCAAATACTCTAACAAAAACTTGTTCATATTAAACATTTTCTTATCATGATCGCTCCACTTGGATTTCTCCAATGTGGGCACAATATAAGCACAATCAATAATTTTCCATAAGTCAATATTTCTAGATTCAACAAATAGTTTAAATCTAGAAGCCCATTGTGCATAGGGAAAATTAATGAATTTAGGAGCAACATTGGATTTATAGCCTAAACAAAATACATTCATATTCAAGATATATATATGAACATATGCAAGCAAGACAAATGCAATCATAACTAGATTAGCACAAATAAGATAACTTGGATCTTTAACTCAAGGTGGTTAGACCTTAAATCAAAGAGCACCAAGCTCTGATACCAATTGTTAGACCCTAGAGGGGGGGTGATTAGGGTCTTATGCTAATCTAATCCGATTAAATGCCAATTAAAAACTAATTAATACGTTATCCTAGCAAGTATAAAATACAACAAGATACGTAAGCTAGGATAAGCAATATGAACAAATGAATATATCCTATCAATGAGATATTACAAATATATGAGCAAGGATATATGAACTAACACAAGGGTAAAATAAACAATCTACACAAGTGATAGGGTAATATGATGAGCAATACACAAAGGCGATATAAGATATGAAAACAAGAATAAGAACGCCAATGCAATCACAAACAAAACGATATGTTTACGAGGTTCGGTCCCCACGACCTACGTCCCCGCTCCTCACCTCGAGGAGATCTCCACTATCACAACCGGGTTTTCTACGTTCACCCGAACAACGTTTACACCTCACAATACAATCACTATGTAATCACACCTCACACACTAAGTGTTGGTCCTAGCCCGTGTCCTCCTCCTCAAGTGCTCGGTTACAACCTCTCCCTAGGCACGTCAACCGACGCCACTCCTCTTGGATTCGACCCCGTCTCTCACCACACACTTCTCTCGGTGTACAAGTGTATTACAAGTGAATCCTCACAATAAGCACAATATAAATCAAATGATTTGTTCTCTAAACAAGGTGAGAACTCAATTAAGCACAACTCTTAGTCACAAACCCACAACCCCAAATTATACTATGAATGTAAATACAATAAGCTCAAAAGGTTGTGTGTGAACAAAGAGATATAAATCAAAACTAAACTCAATGTAGTTCTAGCTTAATAACAATGATAATCAAATATATAAAAAAGCTAGAAATAGAGTTTAGAAAACTTCTCAATATATCAAGAGTTGGAGGGAGAATAGTTGAATGCCCAAACACCAATAGATGATCTCCTCAAGCTCTTGTAGAATTGAATCACAAAAACAAACTCTCAATTTGCTTAAAAGCTTTTTAAACACACTTAAACCAAACTAAAACCCTTGTTAAAAGCTTTATTAAACTTGATTAAAAACTCTCTTGGTTTTTCTGAAAAGACATCAGCAATGGGGTATATATAGGAAGAGGAAATATCAGCAAAAACCCCAAAACAGAAAGACCAAAATGCCCCAGAAGAGTCAGCTCAGAAATAGCCGTTAGAAGTCCAACGGATCTATTGTCGGTCGACCGAAAATTCCGTCGGTCGATCGATGAGAGCAAAAACACGAAGAAGACGTTCTGGACCATTGTCGGTCGACCGGAAATTCTGTCGGTCGACCGATTTGAGCTCTCGGTCGACCGGACCGGTCGACCGATGACTCTCTGGAAAAATACTGACGAATGGTCAATTGACCGGTCGACCGTACCGGTCGACCGAAAACTGACATTTCAGGAAACAACGCTGATTTTAAAACACTGTTTAAAAATATCAAATAAATTCCAAAAAATGTAAAACTTTGGGGAATGATTGTAGACATGATAATAAACATGCTACAATGACTGGTTATCAAAAAGGACTTCCCAAATGAAAAATATCATCATTTTACAAAATAGTCCAAAACATGAAAATATGAGATACTTGAATTTTGATGTTTTGACATAAACCAACTTTTGAAACTTTGTGAAATGTTTTTGTAGACTTAGTAAAACATGTATAAACTGATATTGAAGTCTATAAACTAAGAATACAATATTTTCACAAATACAATAGAAAATGAAACCTATGAGTATGTATATGAAAATATATTTGTTTCATATCTATGTAGATAAACCAAATCACAATAATAAATATGAAACATGTAATTTCATATTTATAGACATGAAAACCAAAACTTGTGTTGTATATATATGTGATTACATATATATACAAGGAAACTAATAAAATGTGTGTGTATAGATAATTGAGCTTAGAGTATATAACACGCATAATATGTATATATATAACTATATATATGCATAGAAACCAAAATATATATATATATATATATATACACGAAGAAACCAATAAATGTGTGTATATAGATAATTGAGCTTAGAGTATATAACACGCATAATATAAATCCTAAACTAAATTACCCAAGCTAGATCTTGATCTTCAATAAGCTCTTCTAGGTAATCTCGCGGATGAAGCTTTAACTTGGATCTTGAACTTTGAATAGCAAGGCTTCACCGACATTCCGCCAACCTCCTTTGGATATGATCGTTGAAGCTCTATTTCATCCATCCTCCAACAACGTTGTTTGTCTACAAAACATAGGAATGCACAAACACTAGACAAACAACATTAGTAATAAATTGTTTGTTAAACATCATCAAAACAAGAAGGCCAACAACAGAGAGATTGAATTGGTCTTTACTAAAGAGGGTCCGATGTTTGTTATCGCAGAGTGGTTTGGAGAAGATCTTTTGGGATGAGGCACTTTCATATGCGAGTCACCTCATTAATAGAATGCCTTCATTTGCGATTGAGGGAAAAACCCCTATAGAGATATGGTCGGGAGAGCCAGCACGCGATTATGATCAACTCAAGGTATTTAGGTACATTGTATTTTATCATGTGAAGACTGATAAATTAGAACCTCGAGCTAGAAATGTCATATTTGTTGGATTCAAGCGTGGTGTGAAAGGATACAAGCTTTGGGATCCAGTTGATAAAAAGATTGTGCCGAGTAGAGATGTCACTTTCTATGAGGTTTCGATCTTGAAGCTTCTCAGTTTTCATCAGGTGGAGAGCACCCCGACAGAGGAGATATCGCAAGTGGTGGAGATTGATGCGGCTCCACAGTATCCAGATAGTATCGTATCCATTAGAGTGCCGACTGAGGTGACGCCAGACGAGCATAACGATGATTTAGAGGATACAGGTTTAGCAGTTCAGCAGAACAGAATCTGGGACTGATGGTTCAGGTTCAAGATTCGATTGCGGTTCGGAGACCCGGGAGAGACATACGGTTGCCAGCTAGGTATACGAATACAGTCATTGCTTATGCACTTCCGATGGAGAGTGTCGATGAGATGGTTTCTACTACATTCAGAGAGGCTGAGCAGAGTTCAGAGACTGATTTGTGGCAGGAAGTTATGCGGGAGGAGATGAAATCTCTTCAGAAGAACGACACATGAGAGCTTATTGAGCTCCCAAAGGGGCAGAAGGCTATTAGTTGCAAATGAGTGTATACGAAGAAGGATGGCATTGAAGGCACTCCGGTGAAGTTCAAAGCTAATTTGGTAGTGAAGGGCTATGCACAAGAAGAACACATTGATTACAATGAGGTCTTTTCTCCAGTGGTGAAGCACTCTTTGATTCGGATCTTGTTAGCTTTGGTGGTATAGTATGGTTTAGAATTGGATCAATTGGATGTGAAAACGGATTTATTCATGCTGATCTTGATGATGAAATCTATATGACTCAGCCATTGGGGTTTTGAGCTGCAAGGAAGGAGAAATTGGTTTGCAGATTGAAGAAATCGCTATACGGTTTGAAGCAATCTCTGCGACAGTGGTATATGCGATTCGATGGGTTTATGCTCGATCATTCATACATTAGGAGCCAATTTGATCATTGCGTGTACTATCACAAGTTGTCAGGAGGTGCGTACATCTATTTGTTGCTTTATGTCGATGACATGTTGGTTGCTTCTATTTCCAGATCCGCTATAGATGAGTTGAAGATACAGCTTTCGAAAGAGTTCGAGATGAAGGATTTGGGTGAAGCGAAGCACATTTTAGGGATGGAGATCAGTAGAGACAGAGATAAGGGCAGAATTTGTTTGACACAAGTAGCTTATTTGAAGAAAGTTCTACAGCGATTTAATGTGAGCATGGAGACGAAACCAGTTAATGTATATTTGGGAGCCCATTTGCAGCTTTCAATTGACCTCTCACCGAAGACAGCTGAAGCTAGAGAGTTGATGTTGAATTGTTCAAAGTGTTGAAAACCGTGAAAATTCAGCAGCCTGGGTGTGGTGCGTGCCACACCCAGGTGTGGTGCGTGCCACACCCAAGCATGACAGAATATGCCCTGTTGTTTAAGGTGTGGTGTGTGTCACACTTAGGTGTGACAGAATATGTCCTGTTGTCTGGGGTGTGATGCGTGCCACACCCGGGTATGACAGACTCATTTTCAGATTCCCACACGGTTTTGGATTGGGTGTTATAAATAGAAACACACGTTTCTAGGCTTGAGAAAGAGAGTTTGAATAGAGAATTTGGGTTTTTTTGAGCACTTTGAAAGAGAGATTATTGTGAGGGAGTGTGAGATCATTGGTTGGGTTATTTTGAGAGTTGTTTAAGAGATTGTAACCTGTTGTTTCTCCTCTATATAGTGAAATCTCCTCATCCTCTCCCCGTGGACTAGGCAATTGCCGAATCATGTAAATTTCTGTGTTTGTGTGTGATTTTGGCCGTTCTATTGTGAATTGCACTCGTGTTTTATTTGGTTCTTCTCTCATTGCTCGCCGACTCCATTGGGTTTATTGAGAGCACGCTTCCGCAAGACGCGCGACAGTCTCTCCTATATTCGTTCAGTTGCCTGTACTCGATGGCTTGAAGGCTATCCGATGCTCCTTAGGGAAACGCTTGCAAAATCTCGCACACCGTCCAGGCTGAGAAATATTTCTATTATCTGGGCTAAAACTTGCGAACTATTATTAGTTTCCAGTTACCTGGATGCTATATCTGATTGTATTAGTAATAGGTGAATGTTAGTTTTCAATTACCTAGATGCTATATCTGATTGTATTAATAATAGGTGAATGCTTTAGCCCGAAGACGTGCTTGAATTGCAAGTTTGTGAGCTTGGAATTTAGTTTTGGTGTTTTCCTATAAAATAACCTTTAAACTAAGGTTATTCTATAGAAACTATTTATACATAAACCATCTTAAAAAAAAAGTTTTTGTTGCAATCAACCACATGGATGTACTTTTCGGTTAAGTTTTTTTTGGGGTAATTAACTCTACCTAATTTTAATTAAAGATCGTCTCTCTAATATATGCTTGGTATTTATAACTAATTATTATAACAACAATCGAAAAAAATTTACGTATAATTTGATAATCAAAATACGCCCCTAGTTTTTACAGTCTCTTGCAAACTGTTACTCTTTGACACGGAAGCTTCCTCCACATTAAAATACGCCCCCTTCTTTTTGCAACTACTTCGTTACTTTCAAGGCACACGCTTCTTCCTATATTGTCGTGGGGAATCCTCGTGCTTCCTTCCTTCCTTTCCAACAGTCGTTAATGGCGGCGATCAAATTTCACGTGCGTTTTTATGGTGTGACCTTACAATATGTCTAGAACATATAATAGGCCCCGTGATTGTGAGTTTGTGACATAGAAATTTTGTAGACTTTTTAACTTTTTCTCGTTGTGAATCAGTGCACCGCACGAAGTGTTCTAGATGAGCGCTGCTGAACTACATTTCGTAAAGTATATTTCATAGAGGAATTGCTTCGGGTTACAGAGAAGACTGTCATTTTCGTGAAGGGTTGAGGGTTATAGCTTTTTATTACTCTATGAAGTCAGCGTTTTTTTTAATAGGCCGAAACGTTGACTCGACGTCGATTTTTTTTTAAACCTAGTTTCTAAATTCCTTGCTTGTGAGAATTAAATCTGAATTGCCCATATACTATGTCTGCTCAAACTATGTCAGAACTCTATAATTGTGATGAAAATTAGAGCCCTGCTATTTGGCTCGCGCGAGTTGCAACTCGCGTGAGACAAAACAGGGGGGTGGTTGGATGCTTGACGAAGAGTTCGATCCGCTCTGGTGGTTGGATTGTCTTTAGAGTGGTCGAGGCACGAGGGGCGTTGTCCTTTTTGTGAACAGTGCTGGGTTCCCGATTGGTCCGGGTCTTGGTTGTTCCGAAATCCTATCAGCTCACGTAGCTCGTCGATTCACTTCAGTCGTTCGTCGACGTCAATTGGATTCCTGTGGCTTGGATAGTGACGTTCATCGTCGCTCTTTAACACTGAACCGTTCGTGGAGATCTATAGGCAATTTTCAATGCCTACAATGCAAATATGGAGTTAATATCAAAATTGTCTAAGAAGAATCTTGTGAAAGGGCTACCTAACTTGCACTTCATAAAAGATACAATTTGTGAGGATTGTGCCAAAGGTAAACAAACAAAGTCTTCTTTCAAATCCATCCATGAGGTATCGACTTCTAAACCCTTGTAATTACTTCATCTTGATTTATTTGGTCCTATGCGTGTTACCTCTCTTGGAGGCAAACACTATGTTTTTGTGATTATTGATGATTTTTCTCGTTTTACATGGACAATATTTCTTGCAAAGAAAAATGATTGTTTTGAAGAATTTGCAAATCATGTTAAAAGAATTGAAAATGAAAAAGATTTGAAAGTTGTTAAAATAAGAAGTGATCATGGTGGTGAATTTCAAAATGAATTTTTCTATGATTTTTGTGCTCATCATGGTATAACTCATATGTTTTCCGCTCCTAGAACACCACAACAAAATGGTGTTGTTGTCCCACCCCCCTGTTTTGTCTCACGCGAGTTGCAACTCGCGCGAGCCAAATGGTATTTTCCTGAAAATTAAGAGTTATATCTCATGCTGTAAGCAGTAATGGAGCTGCATCAAATGTCAAGATTCAGAAGCACGAAGAAGGCAAGTCTTCCCTGAAGTCTTTTAGTTAGCAAGCAATCAATATCCATCACCTAAATTTCATCGGGTACAGACAAAATCAACCAACCATCCCAATTTTATACTCTTCTAAGGCTCAAAATTCAACGTTTGACCAAGGGGCTCCATCCCTCCCCACTGTATTCCACCCCAACGACCCACAGTCTGAACCCAAATACAAATCCCCGCCAAAAACCAACCGACTCCCAAAAAAAAAGAAAAAAGAAAAAAAAAAGAAACCCCAAAAAAAATGTCACCAATATCTCTTCCCCCTCTCTATCTCCTCTTCTTCTTCTTCTTCCTTCTTCTTCTCTCTCCTTCAACCTCCAATGACCAAGAAAAGCAAACCCTCCTCCAAATCAAGCAATCATGGGGCAACCCTTCGGCCCTTGCCGACTGGTCGACCGCCACGG